AAGAGACAATGGATATGATTTATAGCCAAATAGAAGTTTCTGAAAGTTGAATTAATTGGACCAAAAGTTGAATTAATTGGACCAAATTGACAGATTTTAGGGGAAAAATACATAGTTAAACTGCTCTCCAGAGGTACCATATATTATTATATGGAGTAGTATATTGGAGAAGCACAAGATGGTGGAGTGGTAAGCAGCAGAGAAAGAGCCTCTCTGAGTGTTGCCATACAGATGCTGGAATATAGCAACATGAGGAAGACAAGAAGGAGGGAAGTGTGTCCCCTGTATGCAGGAAGGGTCTTAAGCAAAAATTAAAGCCCACAGAGAAAGTGAAGAGAGAAACTTCAATGGAAAGAAGGAGGTAGCCAGTGGTGCCTTATCCCTGACATGTGATTCACTGCATGAGAGAAATGATGCAAACCTGTGGACACACAGTGACTGCTGGCAACTCCAGAGGCCTCCCTGGAGAGACACAGTGAAGGAGGGGAGCAGCAGATGTGAAGGACTGCACTAACTGGCAGTGAGTGCTGAGGGCTCAGTCCTGTGTGATACAGCATTTGGCCAGGAGCCATCTTGGAGAGGGACTGGTGGAACTCAGAACTCAGAGCAGCTGCCAGCTCCATCTAGTGGCTCCTAACTGGGTTCAGGTCTGCAGAAGGTGCCCTGATGGGTCGGCTGCAGGATGAATGAGTCTAGTCTTGGCCACAAGGTGCAGGCTTGCTGAGATTATATATTATCCCACCAAAAGGCTACTTCTGGTTTGCTGGGATAAATCAACATTATGCATGTCAAATTCTTTTTCTCTACCAGGGAAGGGAGGGAAAGAGGCTGCTTTCTCCACTCCTCCCTTTGTGCTCTTGTTGCTTTTGCTATCCTCTGTCTCTATGAACTGTTGCCCTTTGCCCTGTGCCACTCTGCCTTGGAGCCAGCTGAGTATAGATTGAAACCTCTACAAACTGTGATCTAAATAAACCTTTCTTTCCATAACTCTGGGCATCAGGAATTTTGTCTCAGCAATGAGAGAAAGGTGCTAGCATGATCAACAAGCATGATCCCCGTTGTCATCCAGCCTTACTTCTAATCTTTTTTCTTCCTTTACATCTCTATTTTTTCCCTAACCCCTTTTAA